CCATCCTTTGTTTGATAACTGCAGGTGTTTGTTGATTTATTTTGTACGTTTCATTAGGTCTTAGGGAAGAGACCGTTTGTGATATGTGTTCATTTGTAATGTTACCCTAGAAGTCTCTCCCTGCTTTTTGAATTCTGAATTTTTAGTGTCTGCAGAGCAATAATATGGATATCAATAATTCATGTAGCCAATACTCTCATTGGATTTTATTTTTTCCTAATTTTTGCACTGCAAGTATGCCATCATTAGCATCCTTTTACATACAACTTTGTTTGAGATTGTTATTTCCTTAGGATGGAATCTCAAAGTGTAATTATTAGATCAAAGGATACAATCATTAAGCCCCTTAATACTTGTTTTTAAATTGCTATCCCAAGTAATTGGATCAGTTTGTATACTAGTATCAGTCAACATTGTGGGTTATAATTGAAAATAAAACTTTGCTAAGAGAAAAATAATATCACATAGTGCACATTTTAATTTCCATTTGTGTTTTTTTTCTCTCTCATTTTGGCCTCTTTTGGCAGTGGGGATGGGTAGTATTTATGTTGTCTTGCTGAGTTAGCCATGCTTGTATAATGCCATCTTATGGTTATTGAGCCTTAATCATGTTAGTTTTTTATTGCCATTTTACTTTCATTTGCTTTTATATTTGATTTTTATGTGATTAAATGTATTAGTCTTTTCCTTTATGGTTTCTCCTAACTTTTGTGTTTTGAAAGGCTTCCTTTATCCCAACATCAAATAAAGAGTCACTATCTTTCATTTAGTTCTTTTAGATTTCATTTTGTAAATTTAACTCTGTAGTCCATTTATTTTCATGTATAATGTGAGACATAGACTCCTGAGCTTTTTCTGTATATAGTTGAACTCATTTCTGTTGTTATTTATTATCAGATTTCCAGATGATTTGAAAAGTCACCTTAATCATATACTAAAATTTCCCTGAATTAGGGTCTGTTCTGAGCTTCTGTTTTTGTTTTTTTGTTAATCCTCACTGGAGGATGTTTTCCCATTGATTTTTAGAGAGAGTGGAAGGGAGAGGGGGATAGAGGGAGAGAGAAAGAGAGAGAGAAACATGGATGTGAGAGAGATATGTCAGTTAGTTGCCTCCCATATGAGCTCCCAGTTGGGGCCTTGATCAAACCTGCAACCCAGGTAGATGCCCTTGACCGGCGATCAAACCCTAGATGCCCTTGACAGTCTATCCACTGAGCCACACTGGCTAGGGCTGTTCTCTGAGCTTTTTTTTTAAAAAATATATTTTATTGATTTTTTTACAGAGAGGAAGGGAGAGGGATAGAGAGTTAGAAACATCGATGAAAGAGAAACATCGATCAGCTGCCTCCTGCACACTCCCTACTGGGTATGTGCCCACAACCAAGGTATATGCCCTTGACCGGAATCGAATCTGGGGCCCTTGAGTCCGCAGGTTGACACTGAGCCAAACCGGTTAGGGCCCTTTGAGCTTTTAAATTCTATTCTGCTTATCTTTTTCTCTCTTAAATAAACACAGCAGTGTTATAGTTTATTGATTTTTTTTAGAGTGAGAGGAATGGAGAAGAGAGAATGCAAAATCAATTGGCTGCCTCCTGCACACCCTCTACAGGGGATGGGGCCCGCAACCCAGGCACCTGTCCTGATTGGGACTTGAACCAGCAACCTTTTAGTGCAGTGGACGGTGCCCAAGCAACTGAGCCATACCAGCCAAGGCCGTTCTGTTTATCTTTTTATTGCAGTGCAGTATATTTAAAAAAAAAATGATGATAGCCTTATAATATGTTTCATTCTCTGGTAATGCTAGTCCTTCAAAAATCTCCCAGGACTGGAGAGTCCTGAAGGAAGCTGAAACCCGTGAAGTGCCCAAGTCAGGGAACTGCCAAAAGGAAGCTGGTTCTGAACATGGGCCAGGTTGAGACCAGTACAAAAATGGAAACTTGGAGCTACGTTCCTGCGCTCTTTGAAGCTGCCCTGATGAGAAACAGCATAGGTGTCAGCCTCGGAAAGGGCTCAGGGAGCAGGTTCACTCAATCTATATGTGAAGATTGCAGGCATGTGGGGGTCTTAAAGCCAAATATATAAGTAGTGCCTTTAAAAGCTAAATTACCTTTTGAACATAGAAGTCTCTATGGGCACCTAAGCAATTCGAGTTTGGATGCCCCTTTCTTTTCTATTATGACTTTCTTTTATCCTCAAGGAAGCTCTTTGATACTCTTACCGGGTTCGGGGTAAGGGAAGGAAGAATAAAGAAATAAGAACGAGAATAGGATCATAAGCTTTAAAACACACATATAATATCTTTAGAGATGCTTCCAAAGCTTCAAACGTTTCAGTCGCATTGTCACTTTTTTTTTTCATTGTAAAAAATGATTAGTGGATTTATTTTAGAGTTTCTGCTTGGCCAAGGGCAAACTTATCAGGAGAAAGAAGAGAACATACCAGTTAAACTCTCATAGTCTTAACAAAAGCCCTACCACTTCAGCTCTATAGTTAGAGTCATCTTTAGTTGGAGAATCTGGATCTATTTATAGCTGTCACATACACGGTGGTGGGGTCTGCTCTCCCTTTTTCTCTGACATAATATTTTCCAATTCTTGTAGCACAATTTAGAAGAGGCTGGAATATTTCATAAGACTTTACCAATGGCTGGGGAACAAGTAAAAGGAAGTAAACAGAGAGTAGCCTGCCATGAGAGAATTTTTCATGAGATCTAGTTTTTTGTCATCTTCAGCTTTGCTTTCCTACTAACTCCTGCTTTGCCTCAAATTCACAAAAGTCATCTTTTCCCTACCACTCAGGAGAATCTTCAAACGTGTGTAGACTCTAAATTTCAAACTTGAAAGCTAGGACTTTATGATTGACACTGGCAATGCTGTCTACCTGGGTGTGGCCTATGCCTTCCACAAGAAATCATAGCCAACTATACTGCAATCGCTTCTACAAAATAATCATCTAGTTATATCCCAACTAGAGGCCCAGTGCACAAAACTTTGTGCACTCGGGGGGGTCCCTCAGCCTGGCCTGTGCCCTCTCGCAGTCTGGGACCCCTTGGGGGATGTCCACCTGCTGGCTTAGGCCCGCTCCCTGGGGGATCGGGCCTAAGCTGGCAGTCAGACATCCCTCTGGCAGCCCAGGAGCCCTTGGGGGATGTCCACTTGCGAGCGGGGACCAGGCCTAAGCTGCAGTCGGACATCCTTAGCACTGCTGAGGAGGTGGGAAAGGCTCCCACCATCACTGCTGTGCTGGCAGCCGTCAGCCTGGCTTGTGGCTGAGCAGAGCTCCCCCTGTGGGAACGCACTGACCACCAGGGGGCAGCTCCTGCATTGAGCATCTGCCCCCTGGTGGTCAGTGTGTGTCATAGTGACCAGTCATTCCCAGTCATTTTGCTGTTAGGGTCAATTTGCATATTACCCTTTTATTATATGCCTGGTGCATGGGTGGGAGCTGGCTGATTTGCCCTGAAGGGTGTCCCGGATCAGGGTGGGGGGGTCCTGCTGGGGTGCCTGGCCAGCCTGGGTGAGGGGCTGATGGCTGTTTGCAGGCTGGCCAAGACCCGCAGCAGGGACCCTCACCCCATGAGGTATGGCCAGCCTGGGTGAGGGACTGATGACTGTTTGCAGGCTGGCCACAGCCCCTTCAGTGTGGGGGTCCCCACTGGGGTGCCTGGCCAGCCTGGGTGAGGGGCTGATGGCTGTTTGCAGGCTGGCCAAGACCCGCAGCAGGGACCCTCACCCCATGAGGTATGGCCAGCCTGGGTGAGGGACTGATGACTGTTTGCAGGCTGGCCATTATTATATGCCTGGTGCATGGGTGGGAGCTGGCTGATTTGCCCTGAAGGGTGTCCCGGATCAGGGTGGGGGTCCTGCTGGGGTGCCTGGCCAGCCTGGGTGAGGGGCTGATGGCTGCAAGCTGGCCACGGCCCCCAGCCACCCAAGCTCCCAGTGGAGGCTGGCTGGAAGCAAGTATCTGGGATTTATTTATCTTCTATAATTTGAAACTTTGTTGCCTTTAGTGGAGGCCACAGCCAGCCAGGGCAGGCTGGAAGCTTGGCTTCCTCCATCACTGGGGCAACCAAGCCTCCTGCTTGCTCCAGCTCCGTGGCTTCCAGCCGCCATCTCGGTTGGGTTACTTTGCATATAGTCGCTCTGATTGACTGGTGGGCGTGGCTTGGGCATAGCGAAGGTACAGTCAGTTTGCATGTTTCTCTTTTATTAGATAGCCTAATATCCTTACTAGCAATAAGCATGTGGTGAGTGGCTTGGGAATCTGTCTTAAGTACTTTATATAATGAATGTAAAGATATGTTCATTATGGCTTTTCAAATAAGGGGTACAGTGCTATATAAAACAACAATGGACTAGAACTAGTAGACCTGGGTTCTAGTCTGATTTGCCAGTAAACAGCCTTGCCTCTTGTACCAAGTCACTCAATTCTTCCATAGATAGTTTTGTTGCAAGATTTGGATATAGTTAGTCTATAATTTTATGATTTTGACTATAATTGAATTATTATAAAATTTGTACTTAAATCTTTCTCTTTGTGGTATATTAATCTATTTTAATATTATGCTGAGATATTAGTGAGGAATAAAGGCCCAATTACTGTTCCAATGAGGAAATATGATCCATTTTATAAAGTTATACTTTATTGGACAGGTTCTCCATTATGGTGACAGGTGGCACCTGCTTATGTTTAAGATGAGACATGGAGCTTATTATGAGTTTCTTATAAAGTAAATAACTTTTTTAATTATCACATACAAATTTAGATGTCCTTAAGCAATTTAATTGCATGTAGTTAAATCTGTATTTAGATTCTGTATTTTCTGGTTTTATTTCTTTCATATTTTGACTTTTCATCTTTAAAATACTTAAGTTGGAATAAAAAAGCAAACAAAAGCATCATTTGTTAAAGTACTTTAAGAATAAGTTATTTAGTATTCTTAGTTAAGATAGACCAAATTTTCCTTTCTACTAATGTGTAATCTTTTTTTTTTTTAGAGTGAAAAGCTTTTGTTATATGATACAGTCCAAAGTGAGCTAGAGGAGAAGATCAGAAGGCTTGAAGAGGACAGGCACAGCATTGATATTACCTCAGGTAATGGGAATGATGTGACTGTGATGTTTAGTTTAGGTGACACTGAACCTTTGACTTATAATGTCTCACTAGAGCAGCGGTTCTCAACCTGTGGGTCGCGACCCCTTTGGCGGTCAAACGACCCTTTCACAGGGGTCGCCTAAGACCATCCTGCATATAAGATATTTACATTACAATTCATAACAGTAGCAACATTGCAGTTATGAAGTAGCAACGAAAATAATTTTATGGTTGGGTCACAACATGAGGAACTGTATTTGAAGGGCCAGAAGGTTGAGAACCACTGCACTAGAGGCCCGATGCACAAAATTCGTGCAAGGAGCTCAGCCCTTGCAGCCGTAGCGGCTTGCCTCTCCTAATATAAATGTTATGTAAAAGAAGTCTTCTAGTGAGAGGGGAGAAGGGGAAACTTCTAAACAATCAGTAAGATTGTGATTGTTGCTTTGATATGAACTTAGACTTCAGAAAGATGTAGAAAATGGAGCACATTAAAAGGGACAAAATAGAAGTCTGACAGGAACTATAAGAATAAGAATAATATACTATAAGAATAGTAAGAATATAATTTTTTTATAAATTTACTTACTGATATTTTTTAGAGAGAGAGAGGGGAAGGGAGGAAGGGAAACACAGATAGAGAAACATTGATTTTGTGGTTCTGCTTATTTATGCAATCATTGGTTGCTTCTGTATGTGCCCTGACCAGGAATCGAACCCACAAGTTTGGTATATTGGGATGACACTCTAACCAACTGAGCTACCTGGCCAGGGCAAGAATATTATTATTTTATGAGAATAGTATTGGAAGATAATGGGAGTAGGCTTTGAAGGCAGCTGTAGTATATATATATTCCCTCTAAGTTTTGAAACATTGTCATGTGGAAGAAGGAATAAAAACCTCTAACCACACAAACTAGGACAAATGGGTAGAAGTTACAAGGAGGCAGATTTGTGTCTCAGATGAAGGAAAAACTTGCTAATCAGTCCAATGTGAAATTGGCTTTTTCAGGGGTGTTGTGGAAAGGCTTTCTCCACTAAATGGATTACTTACTGGGTTGTCCTACAGTTCTTGCATATGCATTATTTTATTTTTCTACAAATTCTGTTTCTTTGTATAGAGTAGACATAGTGGAGTCAGACAAGCTGAGCTTAATGCCACTGCTCCATTACCTCTAGTCAAGGGTGACCAGGGGTGACAGTCACTTTAGCTTTTCTAATTGGTCTGTTTGTCTGTAAAACTGAAGCAATGAGAATACCTCCCTCAGAGGTAGCTTTGAGGATTAGTTGAGACAATTCATGTATATTTAACAAAGTGCCTGATATATGTTGACCAGTTATTAGTTATTAAGTGTCAAGTTGATTTTTACTTCAATAAAAGCAGAGAAAACTTCATAAATATATAGCTGCTCATGAAATTCTCGTAGTCACGTATCTACACACATATACATAACCGCCAATGAAATTTTGCAACCTTGAAATTATAGTCTCTTTTTCCTCCTTTGGTCTCCAGGAATCAGCTAATACTTAATTTTTATTTACTTGCCAGAGCTGTGGAATGACGAGCTTCAGTCAAGAAAAAAGAGGAAGGATCCTTTCAGTCCTGACAAAAAGAAGCCAGTTGTTGTTTCAGATATCCTTTTCCGAATTTCTTGGGTTTTTGTTGTTGTTGTGGTTGTTGCCTTATGTATATATTTGCACTGTACATACCTTTATAACTTTTATTAGTATACATTGCCTTTATTTGCAAGATCTGTAATAAGCAAAAGATAATTTATAAAACTGATTAAAGGCATAAGAATATACTAGTAATTTAGATTAAGAGGGACAGGGGAGGAATAGAAATTTAGTTATAATCTCAACTTCAGAAGTTAATATGGCTTTTTAGTTCACAGGAGCTTTGATGTGAAATAGCTGTTTAGTATATAGCACAATTACATAATTCTTGTGTGCTTTTTAACTTTTTTTAATGTTTCTCAACGTGGAGTGTCTTTAAGTTAATATGTGCATGCAATCTTGTCATTCCTTATGGTACCCTACCCTTTTCCCCTGGCTTTTCCCCCATTTCAAAACAGTGACTAGGTTGGTGCTATATCTGACAAGGATATATGTAGAATTGAGAGAATATGGTTAATAACATCTGAAGTATTGTAATATATTTATCCTGGTACTAAGGTTTTTGAAGAATAATTGAAGTCAGAAATCAGCATGCCAAGGGATTATATCCAGAAATTATTATTCTATTCTTTGAAAAACAACAGTTTGAAAGTATAATTCACAATGTGAAATTCTTATAGTTAAAATGTCCTTGACTTTTCAACGTCCATATATAGTTTATATGCTACAAGACCTTGATATTCTTGAAGACTGGACAACAATTCGGAAGGTATGATTAACAAGCAATGGAATACAAGTATATTTTTATAGTTTATTTTTTAAGATTCTGTGGTTTTTCACTAGTACATTAAGATATGATTATTATAAATATACTTTACTTTACCACAGTTTCTCTAAGGCAGTTAACACTAATACAGATAACAGTGAATTGAAGGAGTATTTTGAGAAATACTCCTTCAGTTTGTTTTTTTCTTGTAATCCTATCTAATAAAGAGGGAATATGCTAATTACCCTCATGCCGTCACGAAGATGGTGGCGCCTACAGCCAATAAGGAGGGAATATGCTAATTGACTGTCACACCCTCAAAGATGGTGACACCTACAGCCACAAGATGGCTGGCAGGGGAGGGCAGTTGTGGGCAATCAGGCCAGCAGGGGAGTGCAGTTGCGGGGGACCAGGCCGACAGGGGAGGACAGTTAGGGGCGACCAGGCCGGCAGGGGAGGGCAGTTGGGGGCGACTAGATCAGCAGGGGAGGGCAGTTGGGGGCAGCAGGGGAGTGGTTAGGGGGCAGTCAAGCAGGCAGGCAGGCAGGCAAGCGGTTGGGAGCCAGCAGTCCCAGATTGTGAGAGGGATGTCCCCCGAGGGGTCTCAGATTGGAGAGGGTGCAGGCTGGGTTGAGGGCCCCCGGTGCACGAATTTCATGCACTAGACCTCTAGTAATGTCATTAATAATATATGTAAAAGTACAGAAAAGCATTTATCTAGGTTGCCCCAAAGTAATAATAAATAACCATTTTGTGCCCAGTTCTTAGCCTGGTCCTGGCTCACAGAAGGCACTCAATAAATATTTATTGAATGAATGAAAATGAAAATTTTAACCTTTATTATATGTTTTGCACTTTGTCATCAGAGATTCAAGAATTCTAGGATTTTCTGTGCTTGTTTGAAAGTGGAGCTTTTGTTTTCCTTAATAATTTTTCTATTTTTACAAACTTTTTAGTTGAAAATGAGAGATTATTTCAAGTATTAATAATACTTCCCAGAGAAAAGATCATATATATATATTTAAAAACTTAAAAAAAATTTTTTTTAGAGCGAAAAAGAGAAAGAGAAACATTGATGTGAGAGAGAAACTTTGATTGTTGCCTCCTGCATGCACCCTGACGAGGGATTGAACCCTCAACCAGGGTATGTGCCCTGACCAGGAATCAAACCTGCCATGTGACCACACTCCAAACAACTGAGCCATACCAAGCAGGGCTAAAACTTTTTTTATTTACTGATTTTTAGAGAGAGAGACATCAATATGTTGTTCCACTTATTATGCATTCATTGGTTGATTCTTGTATGTGCCCTGACCAGGATTCGAACCTGCAAACCTTGGCGTATTGGACCATGGTCTAACCAACTGAGCTACCTGGCCAGGGCTCATATATATTCTTTATGGTCTTAGACATTAACAACTTATTAGAAGAGCTGAAGATTATATTTCACTGTGCTTGTTATTGAGCTTATCTATCAGTAGTCACTGTATATGTTAAATAGATACCAAAATACACTTTGTGGACTCAGACAACATCTTTCTTCCTTTTTTTTTTCTCAATTAGGCGATGGCTACACTGGGTCCACACAGAGTGAAGACAGAACGTAAGTCATTTAGTCTGAGCTCAGAAATCTTTATGGAGACTGTTGAATCAGGGTTAAGTCAGCTACATACAAAAGAGCTTCCCCTGTCAGTGGTTTCATTTCATCAGTGCACACTATACCTGAAATTATGAGGAATCCTCTGGAGTCTTTGCCTCATATAAAAGTTTCAAGATTTCTGAATGAAATGTATTTCTTCTTTCAGTGTTTCAGCTACATTACTATTGATAATAGTGGATCAGTAATTTTAAAAGTATTTATTTAGTCTTTTTTTTTTATGGGCCAAATAATTCTATAAGGGAGGTGTTTAGAGTCCACGGGAATCTTCTGGAATTGTGGGCAACAGTTCCTCTGTACCTGCATTTTCTGGGAGAGAAATTAGAGTGCTAGCAGTGTAATCCATCAGAAAAATTTACACACCACTAAGATTTACACATCTGCTATACCTTAGTAAAATTTATATCCAATTATACTTTTTTGACTTCTTTAAAAGTCTGAAAATCACTGCCGAGTTGAGGTCTGAGTCCAGCAACCACAAGAAATGAGTTCCAACCACAACCATGTGCCTAGAAGAGGACCCAGGGCCTCCAGCCCTGACCAGCACCTCCAGTGCAGCCTTGTGAGGCCCTGAGCAGAGAACCAGCTCACCTGTGTCTACACCCGGGGAAATGTTTAAATTGTCAGTTTTTATTATGATTCCTTAGGACTCAGGCAATGCCTAGTAGTTTCTCTTCATTTTCAACTTTCAAATCTAAGTCCAGTTGGCTCTCTGAATCAGGATGTTTTACCGAGCAAAGGAGAAAATAGAGGAATATGTGACACCCAGGAAGCAGGAGATTCAGCATACATGAGTCAGAGGACATTCTCATGGTTGTGAAAGGGGATCCCAGAGTGTCACTTTGCAACAAGCCCTGATCATAGCTAGCCTTTTGTAGATTCCTTCAGGAGAGATGTTTTCAAAAAAAAAACAACAACAACAACACACACACACACACACACACACACACACACACACACACACACACAAATAAATACAGATTACCTCACATGTTTGAGTGTATAACAAAATGATTCACATATTTCTTATGGAGAGTCTGGACATGAATTAGTGATAGATACATTATAAAAAATTCAGCAATCAGCATATCATACCAATACCCCAAGAAACAGTGTTTTTAACTCCAGGGGAAAAATAAGTTGTTAAGGAAAAAAAATGCTATTATGTTATTGTACATTGTTTACCACATTTACATTTAAAGTCATATTAATAAAACACAAAATACTGAAAAGAAAAATCACTGCCAAAGTAGTGATGGACATTGTTGTCTAGGATAACTTTCTTTCGTGCCTTCTTTCACTACATATGAAATTTCTAATTCTTCTAAGAACAGTGAAGCTAGATTTTTAAAATACATGTTTTAAATACTAAAAAGTACATTACAACAGATAAAATCTATAATAATAAAAGCATAATATGCTAATTAGACCGGATGTCCTTCTGGACGTCCTTCTGGACGAAGCCGGGGCTTTGAGGGAAGCCCGGGTCCCAGGTGCCTGCTGGCAGCCAGAGGGAAGCCCGGGTCCCAGGTGCCGGCAGCGGGGGGAAGGAAGGCCTACTCTTGCACGAACTTCATGCATCAGGCCTCTAGTAATCTATTAGAGCTCAAATTCTATTTTATATTTAACCCAAGGATTAATCTTTAAACTTTATTATTAGGTCATGAAATTGTGGCAATACTGTACTAAAATGCTTTCCTTAGAAATTAACTGGCAGGGTAACTATCTAAACCTCTAGGTTGTTTACATTTTGAGTCATGAATTCCTTTGAGGATCTTACTATACTATTGCTTAGGTCTCCTCCCCATTTCTGTTGTCTGTAGCATTGTGCCGTTTGTTTTCTTCATGGCACTTACCACAATTAGTAATTTTTTATTTATTGTTTACATGTTTATCTGTCTCCTGACAGGATTGTAAGCTCCACAAAGGTCAGAATCATATTTCTTTCAGTCACAGTGCTCAGAAAACATTTTGTTGAATGAATGAACGAACAAACGAATGAATGAGTGAGTGAATGAATACTTATTGAACACCTTCTGCATATCAGGCACTACTTGAGGCTCTGGGAATACAACGATACAAGAGAAGGACCCCCAGGAATTTGTTGGGGGAGGAAGAATAATATATATGAAAAGATATAATTAACAAGATAATGACAAATTGTAATAATTGCTATGAAGGAAATATAACGTTGTGATGAAGATTAACTGAGGAGTTAGGGTGGTTGGAGAAGACTTTTCTGAGGTGGTGACATTTGAATGATAAAGAGGTGTCTGCTTCATAGTGTACTCTTGACAATGTTCTTTTATAAAAAGAACATTTTTTCTCTGCATGAGTTTACCTGATTAATGCCAAATCATTTCTAGGACATAAAAAAAAAGGAAGTTCTACTTAGGACATTTCCCTTTTAGGATCAAAGGCCTGGGAACTCTTGGAATATCTATTAAACTCTGTTTCTTTGGAATTGTCAGCTGCTGGGGAGAAAATATGAAAAATATAATTTTCAATAGAAACATGGCAATTGATATTTTAACTCCTATTTAAAATTGGCCTTAGTAATTGATAGTGTCCTGCTTTTCCTTCTGGCACTTGCCTAGTTAATAGATGATTTAGTGTACATTATTTAGCTTTGTTTGGTACTTATATTGAAAATTTTGTGAATTACATTTAAAAAGTAAGAAATTAAATTTTCTTATTTCTATTAGATTTAGGTTTGTTATATAAGAAACATTTTTAGTGTTTTTTCACATACCGTATATGCATGGATTGGTGTTAATTCTTAATGTTCTGCACTTTTGTTCTGACAGTGTCTTATTAATATAACAGTTTTTGAACTGATCCCTTTAGCACCTGTGAAACTTGAAAAACATCTGCACAGTGCTAGATCTGAAGAGGGAAGATTGTATTATGATGGTGAATGGTATATACGTGGACAAACAATATGTATTGACAAAAAAGATGAATGTCCTACAAGGTAAAACACCTTATCATTTCAGTGTTTACAATATTGTTGTTAATAAATATTTGCTGCCTCCATAGTATATTCATAATTAGTTGCCTGTAGATCCTTTCTTTCTCTTAATATATCATTTGATTAGCATGTGTGTACAGCATGTTAATCTTTATATAACGAAGTTGCATAGTAAGTTCATGAACACAAGCATTAGCACAATGGAAATCTTGGAATTATTTAGCTAGGTAAGAGATCCTATTTGTTAATTATTACAGTAGATGACCTTTAAATCAGAGAATTGTGCATTTGACAGTGTGCTTCCACAGTGTGTGGGTCTATCAATCCTCCCTTTTCTTTTTGGTGTGTGACAGTATTTTGGATAGGAAGAATTTGGATCAATTAAAGTAGGAAAGGATTGGAAAATGCATGAAAACTTTTAAAGTAACAGTAATTAAAGTATAACTTGAAAACTGAAAATAGTCTTTTAAAATACTTAATCTGTCTAGGCTTAAATAAAGTTTATATAATTACTTATATAGCCTTCTAAGTTTTATCTGGTTGTGACCTTTAAAAATATTAATGCTAATTACTGCTTTAATTCTTTCAGTAGTTAAAGATATAATTCTCAGAGTAGTAACCATTAACATTAGAAAATATCTTTCTAGATTTCAGTGGTAAGTAAAGTATAGAATATTCAACTTGCATTTAGTATAGAATGTTCATTTTCCAAATACAGTGGTTTTAGTTGGATTGTAATTTCATCTTTAAATTTTTAGGATACCAGGAGTATTATGTATAGAAACTTCTCTCAGAAGCTCATTAAGCTGATTACTAGGTTATAGATGATACCCCTGGATTCTTGGCTTTCTCTTATTACTTTGGAAACGTTTACTATTACTTAGTATAAATGTGGTTTAAAAAGATGAAATAGCAGAGGAGACAAACAAAAATCTATTTTTAAAAATATTTCTATATTGAGATGAGTAGTGTCCAAAAAATCTGTATAATTACCATAGAGGCTCGACACTGGGAATTAGGGATTAGTATTTGAAAGATTTTCTACAGCTAAGACTGAGATGAGTTGGAGGTATAATATCATATAAGTAGTGGTTTTTAGCTCCACTCTGTTTTTTGGGGGGTGTGGAGGGGTAAGGTGGGGATTGAGTAGGGACAATGTATATTTATTTAATAATTCAATAATAAATCTTACCAAGTATTAGAAAAGGAAAGGAAATGATCTATTAGGTGTTGCTAGATGTGCTATTTTTGACAACATGACCAGATGATTGTCAGTATTCTGGTAAAAGGCAATTGCGTACCTGAATCTACTCTTGTCGTCCAGTTACTTCGATTTTATAGCTAGTACTCAGAAATGAGTAGAGGAAGAATGTTGTGATTCATTCATTCATTCCTTTTTTCCCCCCAATCCTTTTTAGTGCCGTAATTACAACAATTAACCATGATGAAGTTTGGTTTAAGAGGCCTGATGGAAGCAAATCTAAGCTTTACATTTCACAGCTACAGAAAGGAAAATATTCAATTAAACATTCATAATCATGATTTAAGTGTTATATAAATCTACCTTATTAGTGTTACCAAATGTGATGTGCCATGGGAGTAAAAATGTATTCAATGACTTTAATAGTCTCGCTGAATCATGAGAGACTGTGTATTTGTAGGTGGTATTCTAAGTAGACCTTATACTGATATGTTACTAAAAGAGAAAAAATGTTTAATTGTGATCATTATGTTTATTTGCCTTTTAGGTCCAATGACCAATAGGTGTATATGGTAGGGGTTTCTTATTAAATGTTTTTATGCAAATCTGTGTTTAGTGAACTGTGTTGCTAAATGGCTAATTTTATCTGCATTTTTTAAAATTTTCCATATCTTTGTCACTCATTATGTGTTTGTAAATAAGCCTCATAAAACGTTTCTTATAAATGGTTTGTACTAGTATATTAGTGTTTAATCAGGATTGAAATTAATCATATTTATGTATGTATATATGGCATTATCAGCTTGTTTAGAACTGATGGCCTTACTTTACAATCTTTTTTACCCAAAATTAAGCTATTGGGTTTGACAGCTAAAAGGAGCACTTTTGTAGACTAGTAGCTTTCTTTCTCCTCTTCTTTGATTGTATGGTGGTGACCTATTTTTACAAATGATACTTAATGTTAATTAGTAAAATTAGTGTCAAGTAATAACATGCTTCTATGTGTATTTCTTGTGAGCCTTTAGAGAGCAGGTGTTTATGCTGCAGCATAAGTGGTGGACAGTAACTGACAGTATTGTGGTGCTTGCTGTGCATTCTGATCTTCAAAACAGATTTTTGGTAAGCATTTTCCAGAGGTAAAAGTAGTTCCTTATCCTAATTTTATTCCTAGGGCAAAATAGACAGCGATAATTTCCTCGAATTCTCAAATTAGAAGTTTTATCTATACTTCTACTAAATTCTATATTTTAAGGGCACTTGGTGCAATTTAGAAAGTATTGGCCTCTCTTCTCTTAGCCACATTCAAAATTAACTTCTGAAACCTCAGGAACAGTACAAATAATCGAAACCCTCAATGTGGCAGCACAGTGGCTGTAGTGTATATTAGGGTACAACCAAATCAAGTATTCCTGTGGTCTTGTGCACTTTAATGTCTGTTATAGTGAGACTTAAGAGGATGAGGAAGAGATCTACTTATCAACACTTAGGGCAGGAATAGCTGCATTATTCCGTTTGTTTTCTTACTATTTTACCTCTGCAAACAGCTTCCTGTGTGGATCACTACTTCATAGTTGCCAAATGTTAAAGTATTTGACATCTGAAATTCATTATCAGTAAAGTTATGTACTTTGTTCTGTTTCTAATTAACTGTGGCAAATGTACATAATGTCGTAATCTGATAGTATTTGACAGTACTTATGTATACAATGTTTCATAAGCATTTTTAATAAGATTTGTATTTTTAAATTTAGTATATAATAAAAAGATGTGTTTGAGTGTCATTTGTAGTGTCTTGAATTACTTGTGTATAAGTTCTTTTGTTATTTATAATCTACTTCTAAGAAGGATTTGAACCAATTTACATTAATAGATACAGAGTGTTGAACAAATGTTTTTGCTTCCCTAAAGCACAATTCGACCTCTATTGGGGCATATTTAGACACATAAGATAGCTAATTTATACTTAATTTTAAAATATGTGTATGTGTATGTTTTACTTTTTTAAAAAGCATACTGTATAAGTTGTGAAATTCTAAATAGAAAGTTTTAATACTAATTTATTAGTTAATTTATTTATTTTGAGAGTATGTTTATTAAAGCTAGGGCAGTGAAACAAAGGAAGGGCTTAGGGTAAAAGAAGCAACAGAGCCTAGGCGGTGCTCTGCTTTGCCTGTCTGGAAACGTTAGAGCAGTAATGGCGAACCTATGACACGCGTGTCAGAGGTGACACGCGAACTCATTTTTTTGGTTGTTTTTTCTTTGTTAAATGGCATTTAAATGTATAAAATAAATATCAAAAATATAAATCTTTGTTTTACTATGGTTGCAAATATCAAAAAATTTCTATATGTGACAGGACACCAGAGTTAAGTTAGGGTTTTTCAAAATGCTGACATGCCGAGCTCAAAAGGTTCGCCATCAATGGTTGCAAATATCAAAAAATTTCTATATGTGACAGGACACCAGAGTTAAGTTAGGGTTTTTCAAAATGCTGACATGCCGAGCTCAAAAGGTTCGCCATCACTGCGTTAGAGGAAAGGACTAAGTCATGCTGGGTTGCTTTTAGCTGACTGGGAATTGAAAGAAAAGGGGGCCTTGGAGACAGGTTCTGGGGGTTAGCTCGGGACCAGCTGGTGCTGCTCATTGCTGTACTGGTTGCAAGTCTCCTAGGGACCCTTTAGATTTGTTAGGAGAGAAAAGTAAAGATGCATGCCTGAGAGGAAAAAAGGCATGGGCATGCTCTTGAGAGAGCCCATGCTGGGCCTTTCTCTGGAGGGTTCTTTTCTATTTTCTAAAGGCAGGAATTGTAGAGGAGGTCTTAGATGAGGACCTCAATAAAATTTCATCAGCTTTATGCTGATGCACCAAAACGATATTCCCCTGACTTCGTCCATCCTTGGGTGTGGTTGGCCCAAAAGGCACTAATTGGATTTCTGATACCTGTCTTCCGGAGTAGGATGATGTACACTTTTCCTCCCTCTGGTTGGGGAGGAGAATTGTGAATCATTTACTCTCAAGTGTCTTTGGTTAGGGAAGATAGGGTTTTGCGATTTACTAGATGGCTATAACCTGCTTGGCTATTTAACTATCTGTCTCAGTTTCCCTAATTCCACTTGTCCTGACTTACCTGTCTCATTACCTCCTCAAAAACTTCCCTGAGATATTTTAGAGATGATGAGGGAGGACAGTCTGGCTTCAGTAACTGTTTGCTGCTGCTGAAGGTCATGGTCCCTGCCTGTGTAGAGTATGGAAGTCTCTCCCTGCCTGATCTAAGGGCGACAAGGGAATGGTATCCAAGACTGGAGCAGAGGAATTGTGAGCTGATTCTTCTAAAGTAGAGATGGGCCAGAAGCATTGTCCTCTTGGTATGGAATTGTTGCATCCTGCGGACATTACGAGACCTCCAGTACCAGGATTTGGGGCATGGGATGAAGCGTCAATTCAGTTATTCCTTAGAGTGTTTTACATCTTCGTCCAGTTTAAAGGTATGATTTGAAAGTTTATTTTTAGAAATCTGTAATTTAGAATAAGAGTTCTTTCCATGGATTTTTCTAAATACATAACACATCTGCAAATGCATCAGAGTAAGGCAATGACTGTTTCAAAATGACGAAAACTTAAAATGACATGGTTATAGAAATACAGGAAAATCCTGGTCTTTCTAACAGAGTGAAAAAAAAAACAACAATTTCCAACTCTGTATTAACTTACTTTTGATGTTTAAATTCACTGACTTAATTAAAATCATTATTCAGCTTAACCATATAACTCTCCCTCAAGATTTCTCTTCACAAACCTACAACTTTCACAAACCTTCTATAGTTTTTATTTTAAAAACTATGATTTAACACATTTACTTTCAAAACTTTAATATTTATATATACCTATTTCATAATATTGATATTATTCAGGTAAACTTATGCAAATCTATGACTATAGAATATATTTTGGCAGTTTGCTGTTAGACTTCTAGTGAAAAGGTCTAGGGGAATTGTTAGAATCTGTGAAGTGTGATGTAGCTGCTATTGCTGCTATTATGTTTAGGTCAGCCTCTGTCTTAGGATCAATTTAAGGGCCTTTCCTGTCACAGCTCCCAGTATTTCATGTTTTCAGTTCACCGCTTCCTGCTATCTCCCATTTAAAAATCCAATCACAACTAACCCAATTTATTGCTAATAATTATTAACACCGTATTGGTATAATCCTCATTCTCTCCCTTTGCTCACTGTTCATTTTGGTAGGCTGGGCACTAAGTACTTTTTATTGCAGCCTCCCTCATATAAAAGTTGTTCTGAGATACATATTGTTACTTAGAACTCAAATACCACTGACAGCCGTGTACATACACCTCATTGATAGTTACTTAAAAAGAAGAACAGGAGCCGAAACCGGTTTGGCTCAGTGGAGAGAGCGTCGGCCTGCGGACTGAGGGGTCCCAGGTTCGATTCCGGTCAAGGGCATGTACCTGGGTTGCGGGCACATCCCCAGTGGGAGATGTGCAGGAGGCAGCTGATCGATGTTTCTCTCCCATCGATGTTTCTAACTCTCTATCTCTCTCCCTTCCTCTCTGTGAAAAATCAGTAAAATATATTAAAAAAAAAGAAAAAAAGAAGAAGAACAGGGATGTTGGCTGTTATTTCTAAAATTTTCTCTTTGGACCCAGTAAATCCTATACACTAAAATGGAACTAAGATGAAGTTATAAGATAAGGAAAATGGATGTAGGATAAATGAATATAGTAGTTAGGGTTTATGTAGTTTCTTGCCAAATTGGAATGTAAACTATTTGCTGAAGATAAGGAAGTCTAAAATATTTTTAAAGAATACAAAAGCTCAGAATCAGGGTAGAGAAAAGTTCATTTATGAATGAACTACAGGATTGTGGCTCTTGTGGGATTACTGAGGCAGTTTCCCCTGTTGTTCACTGTGGCCCAGAGTCTCGCCCTTTCCTTCATCGGCCCAGGAACTTGAACTTTATATGTATGTCCTGTTGTGAGCTGAATTGTGTCTCCACATTCATATGTTGAAGCCATCACCCTTGGAACCTTACAATGTGACTGTATTTGGAGATAGTACCTTTAGAGATGTGATTAAGTTAAAGTGAAGCTCTTGGGTTGGGGCCTAATCCAATCTGACTATTGTCTTATAAAGAAGAGGAAATTTGGACACCAGAGGAAAGACCAGGCAAGGACACAGCAGGAAGGCAACTATCCGCAAGCCAAGGGAGAGGCCTCAGAAGAAACAAAGCTTCGGACGCCCTGATTCTGGACTGGTAGCCCCCCAACTGTGAGAAAACAAGTTCTGTTGGTTAGGCCATCCAGTCTGTGGTATTCTGTTACGGCAGCCCAAGCAACTAATACATGCCCCGAGGTGACAGCTCTGGGAAGTTAGACTGACCAACTCACGGGATTGAAATGACAGCTGAGTGTCCACTTACATTGGGAAGCGTAACTGAAAAGGAGGACGCTCTTCAAGTCGCTAGTTGGCACATTCCTTCCTTCTAGGAAAATCAATGTGAAAGCAAACTTGTCACCAGAAGATTTCTTTATTTTGGAGAAACCAGTAGTCACCTGTCCTCTGGTGAGGGTACCCCTTCCTGGTATTGTGCTGGACACACTGCTATAATCTTAATGTTCACTCTGTTTTTTCCTGGAGGCCTATTGTTTGAGCTCTCTCCTCTGTTAATGTGCTGTGCAGGCCTGGCCCACAACCCTCTCTAACTTCTTTCTAAACCATTTGCTTTGCTATTTTGGCTAGTGTATTGGACCAGTGTGGCCCCTGACTCATGGGCAGCCAGTGATAATAATACTTACAATTTGAGTGTTTGCCATGTGCCAGGAACCATATCTATCTATATATAAAAAAGCCTAAGCGACCAAACGACCAAACAACCAGTTGACCAGCGGCTGCTACGCGCACTGACCACCAGGGAACAGATGCTCAACTCACAGGATCGGGCTCCCTCCTGTCTGGATCGGGCCTGCAGGGATGGGGATAGGGCCTGTGGGGATCGGGCCAAAACTGGCTATCAGACATCCCCTGAGGGGTCCCAGATTGCAAGAGGGTGCAGGCCAGGCCGAGGGACCCCACCGGTACACAAATCTGTGCACCAGGCCTCTAGTTTAATGTATAAAAGTCATTTAATAGTGTTCATGTTTAAAACAATGAACACAAATGTAAGAATTCTGATATGATTACTCTTTATAAATTTATCATATACTAGAGGCCTGGTGCACGAATTCATGCATGGGAGGGGTCCCTTGGCCTGGCCAGCAATAGAGGCCTATCAGGGGGATGGCTGGCCAGGGGGAGGGACTCCGGGAGGTTGGCCAGCTGGCTCCCTGATCGGGGCTGGGGGAGGCCAGCCAGCCCTGAGGGGGGAAGGGGTCATGGGAGGTTGGCTGTAGGAGCACACTGACCACCAGGGGGCAGCTCCTGTGTTGAGCATCTGTCCCCTGGTGGTCAGTGCGTGTTATAGTGGCTGGTCAACCGATCATTCGGTCATAACAGTCATGTAGCTTTTATATATATAGATTAGGACTTTCTGGTCATGATGTTTTTCTGAAGGTATGAGAGGCAAAATCCTGTGGCAGGATTTATATATTGAGAGTGCTAAAGCTGAGTTGATTATCTCAAGTTGCTAATCTTTCTGAAAAAAAAAAATGTGTTATATCTATCTATCTACTTATCTATCTAAAAAGCAACTATACTAAGTATAAAATTTCTTTGTTCCTATACTTGAAGCTAAATGTATCCTCTTTCAAAGACACATTTTGTTATTA